ACTTTAACAACTCACTCACTAGTTTTACCTAAACCTAAATCTTTTATAAGTACTTAGTGTTATTATAATCAGTAATTTCAGTCTTACTAAATGAGTAAGTAGTTTTTGTTGCTGTGAGATAAAATAAAGAGTCAAATTGTTTTATTGATTTGTGTTTCTTAGTTACTTGTATTCTGCATGCATATATTGGTTTGAAGTGCTAGTTTTTTTTGGAGTTAATTAGTATTTACTGCATTGGTCCTAAAGATAATAACTATGATAACCATTGTTAGAAATGGATCTGCTTCCGAAGTATTCTAAGATGAATACTGCATTTAAAGTTGTATTATAAAGTTTTATTAAAAAATATGTGCCATAAAACTGCTATATACTTATTGAAGTATATTTATAAATATTTATAATGAAAAAATTCATTGGTTAAAGCTATACCAAATAAAGTGACTTGATAGTCCTAGAAAGTAAGAAATCACTCAACGGCCAAGAGTTTGTTTACAATTTTGTATATTTTTGGTCAAGAAACCGATGGACAAGTAAATTATTTTCATTTGAAAAATGACATCTCTTTTAATTGATAGGAATTCTGTCTCATATGTTCTCTTTATTTGGCGTGGATTTGAGTGAAAGTTGTGAATTACTGATTCAATTTCTTTTTAATGCTATTTGATTCTTTCTCAGAGCAGGGTTCGTTCTCTATTGACATGGTAATGTTTCTAATCCTGCTTATTATTTACTGCCAGGGGCCTATTTTTATTTTTCGCAATCCTGATGTGCTCGTAGATTTATTGTACCTTTTTCAATAATGGTGATAGAATTATATACTAAGAGCTTTCAAACTAGCATGCCACATTTAGTCACGTTTTTTAGATGGGAATTGAGGTCTCGTAAACAGGTATTGGATTATTGTTTAGCTACTTTTGACTCTATATTCACTCACTCAGGATTTTATGAATAAGTATATGCATGAATAAGTATCCATGAGTTTCTTTTGAGTTATTATCCCGGAGATTGACAACGAAATATTGACATACTTTGATAATCCGTTGAAATCTATTCATAATTATTGGCATCTGGATGAAACTCATGGTTAACCACCACCGAAATTGATCATCTACTTTTTTATTGTGTTTACTTAAGACTTGACAAATTTTCATATTTATATTACTCTAATATTATTGCTCCAATCCGCATTTTACTTTGCTTTTATTATTTACTTTGCTAGATACCATTGAAGAAGCAAAATGGCCAAACAGTATTGGCCCCACTTTTTCATAGTCAGGAAAACATAGTTGGGAAGGTATTCTACAGTGTTGTGGTTTAAATCCTGGTATTCCCTTTCATATGCCTTCCAGAAATCTTTTTTAAGCCTATCAACGAATAAAACTTTGTTATGGTGTCTCAGATATCAATTGAATCAATATCAGGAAAAAAAATAATCCTTCATGATGATGTCTCAGTGAAGCAGCTGGATGGTTCAATCGCTCCATCTTTTCTGCATTAACCGTTTTGCTCTACATCAACTGTTACCCATAGGATGGCTAGGTTTTCGATCTTCCGTCTCGAATTTAAGAGGTATTTTGCAATGATTTTCTCATTGTTTCCCTGATTTCTTTTTAATCGTATTTTTTTTATTCTTTCTTTCTATCATCTCAATTTAGTTTTGCTTTTGGTATTGTGTTTTTATTTTCTGGGTGAAACATTAATAAGCCAAGTTGTTCTAAGGGAAAGGCAGAAAGAAAAGTGTCTACTTGTCAAGTTCACTCTCTGCCTTCCACCATACGGTCCATACCAGGCTGCTTACTTGTGTTACTGCCATGATACACTTATGTGATGATACAGTTGTATTTATTTACAAATGCGTTTTAGGAATTTCACTTTATTATAGAACAAATGTTAACCAAGTTATCAGCTCTTAGAAGCAGATTGGAAAATGAAAACTGTAGTAAAAACGCCCACCAGTGTTGTAACGGCAAGGGAAGCTGTTGGCAAGGGATATGTTAGAACAAAGTTCTGAAGTAGTCCTTTGCCACTGTATATTTCAACACTAACAATAGCTGCAAAACCAAACATTGCAAACCGACCGAGACAAATATCCACTCCACTGCCTTCATTGGTATTTTACTCTCATCTTACTATAATCAATGATATTCTATTGGCAGGTTTAGTTTGAGGAAGATCGATCTTAAGAGAGCTGAGCTCCTTTAAATGATGTCACAACTGCTATGGGAGATAATCTATATATGATACTCCGGATAAGATAACCTCAAGCTGATTTGAAGAATTGAAGAATTGCCTAAAAGCATTGCAGTATGATTTGAGAAGAGGAAAATAGTTGAGATGATGTTTCAAGCAAACGAAAGCTAACCTGGAAGATCTATTAGTTTTATCATTAGTTTAGAATTGAGTAAGAGTTAAATGATTACGTGCAAGTTAGATGTTAGATTTCTATCATGTAAGACAAATTGATATTATCATATTGTAATATAATATATCTTACGTAGTATGTTTTATTGGAATATATTTTACACAACATGGCTAGTAAAAATAAATTTGGTCCAAATATGTTTAAAGTGGATTTATAGTCGCAAAGAGTCTTTAATGACCATCTTTCAAGAAATTGCGACCAATTTTTCATTTGCTAATGGCCTTTTCTTGTAATGTATGTTGTCGTTATCATGTTATTATGTAACGACAAATGAGTTTCTTGTCGTTAATAAGTAACGACGAGTGAGTTTCTTGTCGTTAATAAGTAACGACGAGATCTTGTGTTGTCGTTAATAATTAACGACGAACTTTGTCGTTAAAACCATTAACGACGGAGCCTATAACAACCACTTGACGACGAAAAAAAAGTGGTCGTTAAAAGCTTTAACGACCAACTTTTGAGCCTATAACGACAATTTTTTTTATTGTTAAAAGTCGTTTTTCTAGTAGTGCTCTTCGAGGTCCTCTGCCTCCTCATCATCGAAATTAAGCTCGTTCTCCTTCTCATCAATAGCCATCTTCTTGTAGATGTTGTCGATATCCTCCATCTACCAAAACTTCCTTAGTGCCACTGTCCCCTACGCCTTCCTGTTCGACTGAATCCAAGCCGCGACCGAGCCCACCGACGAGAAGCCCAGACCTCTGCCTTCGCTCGCCTTCACCGCAACCTAAGCACCGTTCTTCGTCTATAACGAAAACGGAATCCGAACCCCAACGGCGGTAAGCCCTAGGGAAGACCGAATTTTTAGATGTGATATTTTTAATATTTAATGATAAATTGTCATTTAAAAGTGTCCATTAATATGTCATTTACCAAACATAGTCAAAGTTAATATGGATATGTTATTGTACGAACATTACACAAACATCATCCATGATGTCACTTTAATTTCTTCTATAGAACATGCGGGAGGCGGCGACTATTCTTTTGTTTTTCGGATTAATTGTTTCAAGACAAATGTTTGACCGTAGCTTCATCAATTGTCACTATTGAATTGAACCAACATTACACAAAGATCATCCATGATGTCACTTTAATTTCTTTTTCTATCTTAATTTCTTTAATACAAACATTAAAACATGTATTGTACCAGTAGTAGTATTATTGATATAAACTTTTGTCATTTAAACACGCATATTTTATCATATAATTTGTCAATGAAAATTTTATACTCCATTTGTCCCGTAAACAAGTTCCCACTTTTCTTATTTGGATGTCCTAAAATAAACTTCCTATTTCCTTATTTGGCATATTATCTACATCAAAACATTACAAACAGTGCAAAACAGTGTCAAACAGTGTCGAAACAGTAAAGTTTACCCCTCAGTAAATTTATTTCCTAAAAATGTGTGAAAGTCAACCCGGGAACTTGTTTCCGGGACAGAGGGAGTAGTTTATAGAGAAGTAAAGCCTAACCCCAAGAAACGTGTTTCCAAAAACAAATTAAGAAACTGTGTCTAACACCTTACAATCTCCCACCTAGAGAATGTCTTCTTCAAACCTCCCTTGTAAGCATGGTAGCGACGGCCTTCTTTTTCACGTACCAAGGCCAATTGAAGCTATGCAAAGCTTCAATTTCTCCAAGGTTACCACCTTAGTAAACATGTCTGCTGGATTCTCACTCCCACAGATCTTCACAAGCTGCAATGCCTCTATTTCCAGAAGATGACGAATGTAGTGATACTTCAACCGAATGTGTTTGGTTCTGTTGATCAAATTAGTATTATCTCTACATTTAGATGGTTGCCCATAAAGTGAAGTTAAAAAACTATATAGACACACATGAGCTAACTAATCACAGTTATTTGTAGTCTTAAACTAAGAATAGACAAGTTGGTAAAAATAAAATCAAACCATCCCCTTTTGTTCCCTCCGAAATCCATGAACCAAACGAGCCCTTAAATCGTATACTTATACTTGTATGGTATTGTGGCAGTCAAAGGGCAGTGTATGCATGGGAGTTCTGAACGGCACTGAAGCAGGACTACAAAATTTCAACATAATAGGAGGTATGATATTTCAACTCTTCAATTTCTTGGATAATACAGAATGGAACACTGGCTTAAAGAAAAAGCTGAATCCTTCCTTTGGGTTATCACATTTTTTTGCAGATGTGTCTATGCAAGACAAAATGGTGATTTTTGACAATGAGAAGAGTGCAATAGGCTGTTCTCGTGCAAACTGCGATCGCCCCCCAGTGTCCAACATTGTTTTCATCTAAATTCGGAGGAGTTTTAATCTTCTCATTTGTAATAATAGCTATTGGAAAATGGTCAAATAAGATCTCCAGCTATTTGATTTAATGCCATTGAGACCTCCAAATTATAAACCTTCGATGACAAAATGAACTAAAAAATCATGCAATCCATTTTTACCCTTTGGCATCCCGTAGCCCTTTCCAAACTGAATTGTACTCCGTATATGGATACTTAGTGCAGATGATGCATCTGCATATATCAATAATGATGATAACAATAATAATAAAAATAACAATAACAATAACATCAACTATCATAATTGGTGATTGACTGGTCATGGTTCTGGATTGGGATCTAGATAAGAACTTATAATCCGTAATATAAGCGCACATAACAGAAATTACGTTATTTTTGAAAGTAACAGAAATGAAGTTAGTACATGGAGGAATTACGTTATTCTGCCATATGAATGGCAGCATGTATGCGGGCGGGCAAGCTAGGAATCCTATCTTAGGATGTATGGGATCAGAATGAGGAGTGGCGACTGCAATTCGTTGGCTCAAAAGAAAGAGTGTTCTGAGCCAGATCATAGCTCACCATCATATTCTGCTGTACAAAGTTCCCCAAAACCCCCGGTGATGACCCTCCCCCTCCGGCGTCGCCGATTGCCAAACAAGTGACATTGACCAAACGACCGCCCACCTCATCCTCTTCTATTATGAACACATTGCCTTGCGGGAGGCTCAGATTTGCGGCGCCGCTGCCGTGGGTGCCCTGCAAATGGAGCGTCAGCCTCGGGAAGCTGATCTCATTGCTCGGCAGCGTGAAACAAGGTAGATCTGAACTAGAGTCCGAAGAAAGCTTCAGCTGCTTCTCCACCTCACCGACGACCGCCTTGAAGGCTGCCGTCGGAAGGTAAGTGAGGCTGGTGCCGGTGTCGACAATCATCCCTCCACTCCCGTTCCGATTCAGCTGGAACGCCTCCTTGGGCACTGATTCCAGCCGTGTCTCGCCCACCGAGATTCCTTCAACGGAAACATAGTAATACTGCGATTTGGCCGAGTCATTCGTTGACGGATTTCTTACCAATGGGGTCATGGTGACGTGCTCTCCCCCGCCTGCGGAGGATGATGTCCCTCCTAGTCTAAGCGTGCCGGTTGAATTGCTTCCCAGGCCCGGCAAGCAGTAGGAGAATTGGGAGACGTTGAGCTGGGAGACCAAGGACAGCGGCCCGCGGCTGAGACCAACCAAACCCGAGTTGTGGTTGAACCCTATCCCGCCGCTATTGTTTTGGCCGCAGAGGAAGGTGATGTTTGGGAAAGAAACGTGGTCTCGAAATGTCAAAGTCTCAGAGGCGGCGTAGCCTTCGACCGTCGACCCATCGCCGTACTTGATGCGGCGGGAGCAGCTGCCGCCGGTGTCATTCCTGAGCCGGCAGGCGTGGAAAGAAGTGGATTTCTCGGGGTTGAAGATGGGAGTGTCTTGAGGATAACAGTGGACACATGGCTGGCACTGAGTCCACATCAATTCACTGCCCGTGTCCATGAGAGACCTCAATTTCACCGGCGGAGTCCCGATGTGTAGGTCCATCAAGAACCCCGCGTTTTCAGGCGCGGGAAGTACCGGGGACATCGCCACCTTCCCCTCGCGCTCCGGCAGCGATGCCGCAGCAGTAGCAGCCCAGGCGCCGAACCTCTCGGCGTCGCGCTTAATGCCGATTCGCAATTGCTCCAGCCTGGACCAATTTTCGCCGGCACTGACGCCGTGATGTCGGCTCAGACTCATCCGAACCCCCACAGGCGACGCGGAATTCAGCGTCAAGCTTGAAACCCAAAAAGTGATGATCACCGTCGCCCAAACCTTCAAAGGAAACCAGCCACCCATTCTCTTATATTCTCGCCGGCGGGCCGGCCCTCTCTCTCGGTTATTGTACTTCGGTTCTTTGCGGATGGTGAGTATCAAACACCTTATTGATTCCGCCCCTTATGTAGCCCAATGGCCACGGCTTAATTGGAAGATTGAAATTATATTTAACTGGACAGGCGAAAATACTTTTACTCTTTGCATAATTAGAGCTTCTCATCTCCACCTAATTGTGGTTTGACTTGCTATTTACACCAAAATTATTTCCAAGTAAAATACTACCTATACTAATTTATTATTAATAATACTCCCTCCGTTTTAAAAAATACTTTCCACTTTCCTTTTTGAGTTGTCCCAAAAAATACTTTCTATTTCTCCTTTTGAAAAGTTTTGTGTGACTCAAATTCATTTATTTTTTTCTTACTCAACGACAACCATACATTTCCACTTTATTCTCACTTTTTTAATAAGCGAGCCAAGTCAAATCGGGCAGTATTGTCAGTTTATAACTGATTTGATGTTCATTTGATGGTGACAAAAATCTTATTTTTTAAAACAAACATATTGCCTAGGCTAATGACACTACAAAAAAACACGGGATTGACAAGAATTTTTGACACGGATTTGGCAGGGATTTTGGCAGGGATATGCCAAATCCGTGCTAAAAGCACTTTGACACGAGCTATTTGGCATGAAAATAAGTAAATCCGTGCCAATACCGTTATTTTTTTGTAGTGTGAAAGGAAGTACTAATATTATGTTCATTTATGTTGTGAATAAAATGCATGTTTTTTACGCAACAAGATGACAGTTTGGGAGTCTGACGTGCACTTTGTCGTGAGTGCACTCAAAATAAATTCAATACTAGCACTTATACGTAGTATAGCGTAGTAGAGTTCGTATCCACAGGGAAAGGAATAACTCTTCTTTTTATGTAACTAGTAAATAAAGGGGGGTTTTGTTTGTTGAGTGATTTAATTAATTTAAACACGAAGATGAACGAGTTATATGGGATTAAATTCAGGAATAAAAGGGACTTGGTCTTGCTACTTTCCACTTGTTGATATATTTTAGTCGATCATTGTTATATCCATAACTTGTCCCCTCTCGAATACTCAATCGAGGAGTATATCCAGTTCATCGAGGGTAGTTATTAACAACGACCGTTCATTAATAACCCTTACTATTAATCAAATATAGAACAACGCCGTATACCGATATAATAGTAGCATTTAACCTCTTTAACTCCTTGATGAAATCAATTGAGATTGATAACCTCAACGCAACGGTTTCGGTTTAACCAACAAAATTGATCCCTCTTAAGTTTATTAACCACGACCGTGCATTAACAAACCGAAGTTACTTACTTGTGAAACTATCAACGATTAACCATCGGTTCGTTGATCGTTTCTAGTAATAATCAATGCTGGAACGTTAACTAATCGTCACTTAGCAACCCTCCAACAATGATGTAGAATGAGATTAAGGGAAGAATTAATAATCAAGAAGAGAGAGTAAGAAAATAACTCACAACTTTAATAATCAATCAAGCTTCAAGAGCAAAACCAAGAAATGGAAGTTTAGCTCCTCATTTGGAGACTAAACATGCTAAAAGAGTTATAGAGAAATGCTATTCTAAACTGAGCTTAAGAGAGTAAAGGAATTGGTGTTTTAAAGTGAAGGAAAGGAGGTGTATTTATAGGCTTTTTGAGGTGCAGGCTCGGGTACTCGATCGAGTATATACAGATACTCGATCGAGTATGTGTAGAAATACCAGATTCGAGGTATACTCGATCGAGTATATGTTCATACTCGGTCGAGTATGTGCAGAAAGTGATATTCGAGCCATACTCGACCGATTTCGGGTTTAAACTCAAAGGCATACTCGATCGGGTATGTCGGTCTACCCGATCGAGTATAGACACTAAATCGTGGCCAAAATCTTCCTGACATGTTCCTTTGTCTTCGGATCCGATCCGATTTGAAGTTTCAACCTTATACTCGATCGAGTATAGGTAATACTCGACCGAGTATAGACCAAAATCAGGATTTTCCCTTTTGTCTTGTGATTTTGCACCTTCCTTCCACTTTTGGGGTTCACCAACTGTCCTTTGAGTGATAGTAGACCTGTTTGAGCTCAGAATAATCCTAATCTAAACAATTTACAAGGATTTAACAAACTAAACTATTACACCAAAAGTGTGTAATTTCCAAAATATTAAACAACCAAAACTAGCTAAAAACATAAACAAACATACGGAAATTACAAACGTATCAACTCCCCCACACTTAGTTCTTTACTCGACCTCGAGTAAAACAGAAACATCCAAACGGTTTAAGAGTTTTCCAAGAGTTCAAGAAAGAAAGAACTAAGACCACCAAGGGGAAAAATGAACAACATTCTTTCTTGGGTTTAATGATCTTCTATGCTCCATCTTCTTGCCTTTTTTCCTTCTTTTTCTTCTCTCCTTCCTCTTTTTCTCCAAAGAGATTAAATGAGTGCATGCAAAAACAAATACGGAGTATTTCTCTCATATCTCTCATTTTGCCTAGGAGCCTTTTCAGGTTTTCATCCTAGCATCTCTTTTCATTTTCCATTCTCCCAACTCACTCATCATTTTTCACAAGCCTTTTTTTTTCTTAGATTGCCCATTTTGTTGGGTTTTCAACCTAACTAGCATTTCTTTTCTTCATTTTTTTTTTTGTTTTTTTTTTTGTTTTTTTTTTAAAGAAGTTCATGCGTAGTAAAAGGTAGAAAATAAGATTACATACCCATGATGAGTCTCCTCCCCCACACTTAGTTCATGCACTGTCCCTAGTGCCCAATTTCGGCTTTTGTTGTTTGTGGAGTAGGGTGATTTTGATTTTTGGTGGGTTGTGGGTGTTTTGGTGGGGAAATGATGGAGATATGGTAGAGAGAAGGTAGAAAAATGGAGTTTTGGGGAGAAGGGGTCGAGGTTGGTATGGGTGTTTGGAGAAGATGAAGTGTTTTGGGGTGTGTTTTGGGGTTAAATCGCAGGTATACCCGATCGGGTACTGGAGACAGGGGGTGCGAATATGGCTTTTCCAGTGATACTCGACCGAGTATTGATAGATACTCGATAGGGTATAGGAGACAGGCTGCTCGTGGTTTTGATTTTCCAGACATACTCGACCGAGTATTGACTTATACTCGATCGGGTATGTCTCCAAATACACCTTTTTTTTTTCTCCCTTTTTTTTTACACACGCACACAAACTGAAATAAACATGAAAAGAAAACATACCTTGCTTGGGTTGCCTCCCAAGAAGCGCCTAATTTAACGTCGCGGCACGACGCCATCATTGTGTTCAATCGTTCAAGCTTGGATCATGATAATTAATTTTCTTCAAATTTTCACTCATAGGACCTCCATAGGAGTGCTCAATTTCTCGACTCTCCACTTTGGAAATCTTTCCAGGATCAAATATCCAGATTTTCATTGATTTATGTGGTGGGAGGAAGGGGAAGAAATTATCATGTAGTATGGTCAATGAAAAGTTTTTCGATCCCTCAATTTTGAAGGAGATTTCAGAAATGTCATTTTCCATTTCAAGTTTACGAGATTCTCGTAAAGCTTCCAGAGATGATGGAGATACCTCAAAGGATGACAATGACAAAAATTTGAATTTGAAGCTCAGCTTATCCTTTTCTTTGACCAGTTGGAGCTTCGTGTCTTTTTCTTCTTCTACTTCTTCTAGATTGTGGATCTCCTTTTGTATCTTCTTTTCATTTGTCAATGTGATTGCAAAAGTTTGCTGTTTAGGATCACATTCTATTTGAGAAGGAAGTTTTTCTGAATCCCTTGCTTCAAGCCTACTCACGGCTCCGGCTATTTGACTCATTTGAGTTTCCAAGTTTAAAATGCTAGACTTGGTCTCATTTTGGAATTGTACCATGTTGTTTTGCATGGTGGTCATGTTGGTAGCAATAGCCCGGACCATATCCTCCGTAGACATGTTAGAGTTGGAGAACGGATCATACCTCATTTGAGGTACATCCCTTTCGTAACCAACCTCATCAATTTGTTCAAGGTATTCATCTTGGAGCTTTGGGCAGAAATCCGTTAGATGCCTGTGAGACATGCAAATGTTGCATGTCTTGGCATCTTGAGCTTCTGAGCTTAAGATATATTCCTTTATTAGAGAAGTCAAGAAGGAAATCTGACTCTCTAAGGATGAAATGTTGGTATCCATATACTCATAACTCATGTAAGCTCAGAAAATAGAAGAGTAAGATTTTTTTTTTATATATATTTTTTTTTTGTTTTTGATTTTTATGAGATAAAATAAAAAGAAAAATAATTACCTTTCCCCGGCAACGGCGCCAAATTTGACGTGCACTTTGTCGTGAGTGCACTCAAAGTAAATTCAATACTAGCACTTATACGTAGTATAGGTGAAGTAGAGTTCGTATCCACAGGGAAAGGAATAACTTTCTTTTTATATAAATAGTAAGTAAGGGGGGTTTTGTTTGTTGAGTGATTTAATTAATTTAAACACGAAGATGAACGAGTTATATGGGATTAAATTCAGGAATAAAAGGGACTTGGTCTTGCTACTTTCCACTTGTTGATATATTTTAGTCGATCATTGTTATATCCATAACTTGTCCCCTCTCGAATACTCAATCGAGGAGTATATCCAGTTCATCGAGGGTAGTTATTAACAACGACCGTTCATTAATAACCCTTACTATTAATCAAATATAGAACAACGCCGTATACCGATATAATAGTAGCATTTAACCTCTTTAACTCCTTGATGAAATCAATTGAGATTGATAACCTCAACGCAACGGTTTCGGTTTAACCAACAAAATTGATCCCTCTTAAGTTTATTAACCACGACCGTGCATTAACAAACCGAAGTTACTTACTTGTGAAACTATCAACGATTAACCATCGGTTCGTTGATCGTTTCTAGTAATAATCAATGCTGGAACGTTAACTAATCGTCACTTAGCAACCCTCCAACAATGATGTAGAATGAGATTAAGGGAAGAATTAATAATCAAGAAGAGAGAGTAAGAAAATAACTCACAACTTTAATAATCAATCAAGCTTCAAGAGCAAAACCAAGAAATGGAAGTTTAGCTCCTCATTTGGAGACTAAACATGCTAAAAGAGTTATAGAGAAATGCTATTC